AGAAAAATATTATTATTGAGATTTCTTTGAGTATTTAATTCATTGTCTTTTACTTTTTATGATACCTAATCTTCATCCTTCTGTAGACTAATTTCAGCTTGGTTTGCACCTTTAAAAAGTGCCCCCCTCCCCCAAGGAAGAAAAAATTGTTCCCATTTTGTGTTTGCTAATGAATGGTAAATGGCCTGCTTTTCTAGTCCCTAAGGACCCCAAAGCGGTTCACACTACATTCAGTCATTCACCCATTCGCGATGGCAAGCTACATTGTAGCCACAGCTGCCCTGGGGTGCACTGACAGAGGCGAGGCTGCCGGACACTGGCGCCACCGGGCCCTCTGACCACCACCAGTAGGCAAACACGGGGTTAGTATCTTGCCCAAGGATATTTGGCATGCAGCCAGGAGGCAGCCTGGGATCGAACCACCGACCTTCTGATTAGTGGCTGACCTGCTCTGCCACCTGAGCTACAGCCACCCCATGTCCTGTCCTGCCCACCAGGTCCACATTCTTTGTGCTGTGTAATTTCCTCTCTCCTGTCTCATATATCATAGGGGAATAGCAAGGTGCTGTGCAGCTGATGAATGGCTCCAGCCTTCAATTGTTCCTCTTCTGCTGAACCTTTGTTCTTTCTCTCCCACACACACACACACACACACACACACACACACACACACACACACACAATACAATGACATAGATTCATACAGAAACACGTCCCTCTAGAATCGAGACTCTCTCCAATAATGTTTTAGTACATAACATGCGAGACATGCACACTAACAGAAACAGGTACACACACACAAGACTGCATTGAACTGCCGTATGCAGAAATGTCCTTGCAGTAGTTGTTGCTTTACCCTCTCAGAGTAAAGCTGAAATTCACAGTGCCTGTATTTGTCATTTCTACGCACAAAAACGAAATGCAGAATGGACTGACAGACATTTATTCAACTTATTTTTTCCTGTGGCTGAGGCTGTTTGCCTTTTTCTTTTCTTCATACTTATCTCCCATTTACAAAACTAAGCTCTTCACACGTTGGTTTCATTTTGTACCAGCACTGAGAGAGTGTGGCCATTTGTCAAAGCAAAACAAAGACAACACACTGCGAGCTCCTCTCGCCTTCTTCTGAGATCACAGCAACACTCTCATAGAGGGAGGAATAAAGCAGCAAAAGAAAGCAAATAATCTGTGGGTTGAGCCAAACCAGCTACCACTTATGCAATGACTTTTGAAATATAGAGCAAATTCAAAGTAGTAGCTTTTTTTAGATTTAGGATTTACAGGAAATTCATGTGAACAAGTGACAGAGTTTTACAGTTTACCAAATTCACACAGGTGTTATACCTGATCTTGCAAACAGCATCATCTGTGACCAGAATGCCTAAATGTGTAGTCTGTTTATGTGTAAACACAGTCTTTATCAGATTGAGCTGATTCTGCTTCATAGTTATAGTTAGCGACTTATTACGACCCATTGTTAAGTTGGGGTTGATGGTGCTGATTCAAGCTTTCAGTCTGACTTGAGGCAGGCGTTGTGGTTTAAAATCTGCATTGGTAACTCAGTAATTCTGATTTCCAGCTTCAAATTGAACCCACCGGGAGAGTCAGCACTTTTTCCAGGGGCGCATCTAAAAGGGGGGCACTGGGGGCCAGACACCTCAAAATCTGATAATGTTTTAATTTTGTGGACTCGGGGATTATTGATACCTGATAACTGAAGTTAATGGGCTTTACATTAAATAAATAATTTAACTATGTGTTATTCTCTAAGGTAATGCAGTCTACACACAAAATCGCTACATTTTGTCCTTTTTTAATTCTTACTAAGTTTTTTGTACCACCACCATCTTGGATTGTTAAGTGGGGTTGGTGGTGCTGATTCAAGTTGTAGTTCTGACTTGAGGGGGTGTTTCGCTTTAAAATATCGTCTGGCAACTCAGAAATTCTGATTTCCAACTTGAAATTGAACACACCAAGAGAGTCAGCATTTTTTCTAGGGGTGCATCTAAAAGGGGGGCACCGGGGGCCAGACATGCCCCAGCTTTCGAAATTTAATTACCACCCCAGTACCCCCAATGATATTAATCTGGGATACTGTAAACAGGACATTGCAATAAAAGAATAGTTTTATATTAGTTATTTCTGCTGATTTAGATAATGAACATAAAATATAAAATCTATTTATAGACTATGCCATATAATAATACTTTTCTAATTAATAAATTAAGTATTATTATTATTTTTTTTCCATTATGTTTTTATTATTCCTTTATATTTTAAGTATATTTTAATATATATTTTGATGCTAATACGTGACACAAATTAACTTGCAGTGCATGATTTGCAACATTATTTTACAATATTTTGCTTCTTTGGCTTCATTTAACAAAATACTTAACAAACTACAAAAAGTCCCCCAGTACAAAATTTTTTTTATGTTGGAACCACTGTATCTTATTTAATAGAGAGGTGATGAGCCTAAAAGTCATGCCCAGTGTTTTCTAATGCAGATTTAATGCTGTATCAGTTTCTGATCCGTTGCCCCCATTTCTGAATATAAGAAAAATCCTTGATCCAGTCCCTCTTTTTGCTTGGGTATAATATGTAAAGCTATTAAATAATTCTACATGCACAAACTTAAAAAAAAAAAAGAGAGAGATAATAAATGTTTCAAGTCTTTATCCAAATATCCTGAAGATCGGTCTCTGTGTGGAAATAAACCGATTCTTTTAATTAGATTTTAATTAGATTAGATTTTTTTAAAATTTTTTTAAAGTTTTGAGATGTTACAAATAAAGCAGCCAACGGAAGGAAGACTGAGACAGAGCCATGCTGAACGCAGTCTGAGCCCTTCACAGCACATGACCTGACACTGCTGCACCGGCGTCAGCTGAGGACTCAGCTGACCTTCACCACTTTGATTTATGTGCAATTCATCCATCTGACGCTGGTGGGTATTCACCAGGGAGCAGATAGTTTTAGGGTGGTGTTAAACACTGCTTTGAAATATGAAAAAGTGGGGGAATATCGTTAAAACGCTGATGCATCTTTCTTTACAGAAAAGTTCCATTTTCTAACAAATGCTAGTGTTGTAAGGCAGGTGAGGATAACTGCGTACCAAGAAGGTTTAATGGTTACTGCCTCACTGATGTCGATGATCATTGAAAGGTCTTCAATTAAATCCTGAAGCAGCCCCTGGATGAGCAATAAATGGAAACAAATGGTTTCTGGAGGGAAGTAAACCATCCTCCGTGGATAAGATCTCCATCTCTTGTAGTTGGATGGTTGATGCCTGTGGAAGCAACATAATTGTCCAGAAACTTGGAAAATGGGATAATAATATTTCTTTATACACAAACTGGAAGCATTGACAGGTCAGTGTGTGTCTGTGTATGCACTTTGCTGATGAACATCTGTTGTGAGCTGCATGAGTTGCGGGAGTTGAACTGAAGACTGTAGAGCTCATAATGTCACACTGAACATGGGTGGCAATGGGTGGGGGGAGGCACACAGGGTGGAGGAAAGAAGGCAGAAAGCTATCTTTAGTTTCCCGTTCATTCTGTGATCGACCAGGTTCAGTTTTTAAACTTCTAAACTTAACTGTAACATAAATAAATCCATTAAGTGACTGAAAATTATTAAATTGTGCTCAAGCTTTTTTTTTTGTTCTAATTAAGTAAAAACAAAAGTTAATAGTTTTCTCCCTAAAAATCAGTACTTGACTATAATATTTGTTTTGTATTTGTTCTTAATAGCTTGTAAATCAATGGAAAAGGTCCAAGGAGGGAATGAAGGAGTATGTTTGTTTGGAGTTGAATCACCTTCACTACTAATAATCCAAACCTTTCCAGCCTGGTTTACCCTGCAGTGGTGCAATAACACCTGGAAATGACAGACCAGACTTCATTATGTGGACTAACATTTCCACTCACCTCATGGCAATAAATCTAATTTCACTGGACCTGCAGAAGAAGTCCTCTTGTCTTGTGTCTTTAGCCTTAAAACCAATTTAATTATCTATTTCTCTACAGCAGGTCATTGTGCTGCATCACAGTTCAGTGGCTGTTGAGTAAATGTGGCATATAGTCAGACAGTAATTTTACTCTGCAATCCAGATAGAGGTTGCATCCCATTAACTTCAGTTTCAGTTCAGCTGTGCTGTCGCAGTATCAAAGTTTAATGAAATCTCAGTAAACTTTGTATTTGTATGTTGTGTGTGGCAGATATTTGAATCTTTGGGTCTCGGCTCTAATTGTTTGGCGCCACATGCATTCACGCTAATCAGTATGATGGCGAGTCTCCCGATAAGCTTGTTTGGCAACAGTTATTGTATGTCGACATCACTTTAACCCTTATTTTGGAAGCAGCCAAGCTACTAAGAAAACCAGCTGGTGCTCACACATCACCTCTTTTCTCACTTCCCTTCACAAGCTTCCAGAGAAATTCATAATCCACTTTAAACGTTATAAATAACATATGAAGTCCTGCATGGCCTACATATAGCAGAGTTATATAGAGACCTTATTCTAATCGTTGGCGTCTCCGATCATGTTATCTGAGTCTTTTAACCCTTTTGTGCTCTTATTTTGAAACTAGAGGTGATCACAGTTTTGAGGTTGTAGCTTCTAAACTTTGAAGTGACCTTCATCAGCCTATCTGTGGTTTGTTATAACTGCTAAAAACTATTTTTAATAGGTTAGCTTTTTCTTTAATCTGTCTCCCATCATTTTTGTCCATTTAATATGTGTACACCGGCATTTAGGACTGTAAGACTGTGTTTTACTGTGAGTCTATATCCACAAATCCATATATATTTGTTCAGTCGGGGGAGGTGTGGTTTCTTTTCTCTTCATTCCTCTCATGTCATATTTCTTGCATGCCTTCCTTCTTCTTTTTCTCTGCTTTTATGTTTTGCCATCTATGAAGTGTCTCTCAATAATGCTGATCGTTCTCCTCAATAGAAATGTTTTTCTTTAATATTTGTTTTCTTCTTTTTCCAGGACAGCTGGAAATTGCACCACCCACTGCAGCACAGTTAAGATATGGTAAGAGGTCCTTTTGTTCTTGGCAGATATATTAACTCCTCAATGTGTCTCTATATATTTTATCCTTTTCATCTTACAAGATGAGTACTCATAGAAAATTGCTCACTAATCTTTTAGGACATGCCTCATTTAACAGTCAGTCAGTTTAGGAAAGTTAATGAGGACCAGTTTAATTAATGGCTCATTGTGAATGTGTTGTTTCCGTGAATTGTCCAAAGGAAAGGAAAAACCCCTGTTTATGGACCTAATGGATCCAAATTGAATCTAATAAGCAGTAAAAAAAAGTCTCTGAGTCTGAGGTCATAATGACTTAAATGTAAAATCAGTGGTTTTTTGAGGTTATTTAAGAGAAAAAACAACAAATTGATGGATTGAATTTATGTGTAAACTTAGAATTAATAAATAAAATTAGATAGGAGCAGGTTTGCAATTCATGGAAGCCACCTTGTTGTCCCATCTTGAGTACAGATGAGATGGACATCGTTATTCATCGTAATAGTGTTTTATGAATGTGGCTGCAGAGCGGCCACATACATAGTGTACCAGAGGTGGAGAAGAAGAAAACTCGTAGGCATTCCTGTGCAGAGTGTCAGACTCAGGATATGAGTATCTATGCTTATTATCTGAGAACGGGTCCTCTTCACCAAAGAAGTGAAAACAAGAAGGAAAGAGACAACGCGACTCGATAAAACTACATCTTCTTCCTTCTCACCTCAAGTGTCACCTGCTGAGCTGATGTCTGAGCTCTAACACACGAGGACGTGCATTAACATGCACCAACAACAGCTGGTTATGAGCTAACATTAAGCCAGCTAATATTAGGCTGTGATAAACAGTTTGATTGTATTCTCATATCATATGAGAGTTTATTCAATAAGTCTCAGAGTCCAACAATGTTCGATCCACTTTAAAGAAAGCTTCATTAATGCAAGCTAACAGCAGCAAAAACGGCAGCCTTTACTGACAGAAAGGTTCAGGATTTCCTAAACAATTCACCTCAGGATCACTGTCAACGTTTAGAAGTGAGCTTCTCTTCAGTTTGTATCTGACTCCTTTCACAAGTTTTGCAGCCTCCGAAGTAAACAGTCATGGAGACCAGCTGAGGTAAACAGTGGACTGACAGCCTGCACCAGGGGTGCCCAACTCCAGGCCTCAAGGGCTGTGTCCTGCAGGTTTTAGATATCACTCTGGGTCAACACAACTAAATCAAATGATTAGTTCATTACCAGGTCTCTGGAGAACTTCAAGACATGTTAAGGAGGTAACCTACCCATTTAAATCAGCTGTGTTGGGTCAAGGACACATTTATAACCTGCAGGACACTGGCCCTCGAGGCCCGGAGTTGGACACCCCTGGCCTACACTCACAAGAGATGAACAAGGCCAGAGTTGTTTGTCCTACATTTTCTACCATAGCTAGGATTATGGCTTGATTTGGGAGTGGTAAAAAAAAAAAACAAAAAAATAAAATAAAATTTGAATGCAATTTGGAATCTACTGACCTCTAGTGGTGAGATTTTGCACACTGTAACTTTAATATGTAGCTGTTCCATCATACACAATATTACTGATATTTAAATCTACTTTAGTTCTTACTAATGTAATGGCTCACTATAATAAACATTGCCACAGCAAATGTGTGAAGTTGTACATCATAATATTATACTCTGAAAAAAATATCCGGAACGACAATCTGCTTAAGCATGGAGAACAATACTTGTTGCACGTAGTCCTAAGTCCATTTGTGCCTTGTTCAATTTCTTTGAAGCGTTTTTTAATTCAAACTTTCCCTAATATATGATAATAGAAAATATAACAGGATTTCTGACTTGTATAGAACATGTTTTTGGAAAAATGAAGGGTAAGGGTAAAAGTGCTTCTTTCTACTAATGTGCTTAAGAAAGCACACTTAATATTAGTAGCGTGACAACCCATTAAATTATGTATGCAGCTAAAAGTAGATTTTAAAGGTGTTATTTTATTATGCACGTGTGCGGTGGTTAGCACTGTTACTTCACGGGGCGATCGTGGCTCAAGAGTTTGCCTTGTGATCGGAAGGTTGCCGGTTCGAGCCCCGGCTCGGACAGTCTCGGTCGTTGTGTCCTTGGGCAAGACACTTCACCCGATGCCTACTGGTGGTGGTCAGAGGGCCCGGTGGCGCCAGTATCTGTCAGCCTCACCTCTGTCGGTGCACCCCAGGGCAGCTGTGGCTACAATGTAGCCTGCCATCACCAGTGTGTGAATGGGTGGATGATTGAATAATTGACTAAGTAAAGCGCTATACAAATACAGGCCATTTGCCATTATACTTCACAACAAGGAAGTCCTGGTTTCATATCTACCTGGCCTCCATTAACAGCTGGAAAAGATACCGGGGGTTAAGCGGATGGATGTGTGGGTGGATGGTGAATTTGTATAAGGAGACATGTTTTCTGTTTGTACAGTTGTCCGTTATTACATCCTGGATCATCTTGTGTAAACCAGTCAGCACTTCCCAACATGAGGGTTCGTATTAGAAAACATTTGAAGCATGCATTTCTGTTGAAGTCAAAATAATGTAAAACACAGAGAAATTGAAGAAAAATGAAATGAAATAAACCTGAATTGGTATATAAAACTGGGGACCAGCCAGAAAAGCTTCAGCATAAAGCTGAGTGGGGTTTTTCTCATTGTGCTCACAAAGAAAGGATGTAATCCAACTGCAAAGGCTGTGTGGGCATTTTTCACTCTGTTGGTGATCTCATGAGCTCAGCTTTCTCTCTTCACTTTAAAGGTTTGGAAGCTTCTCCTCCTCGCCTGTCTTATATTTAACAAAAACAGATCTTTGTCACAACAGCCGCTTTGTGTGGGAAATATTTAGTCTCCTCTGGAGTCGAGCATTTGTCTTTTTGAGCTGACACAGAAGAGACAAACTTCAAGTGAAACACTGACTCAGCCTGTTGTCACTGTGGTGTCGCACACATTTGTGATGATAATGTCAATCTTCTTGTTGTTGCCTATTTTTTTCCTACTGGGAGTTACGAGATTATGAAAAAAACCACTGCATCCATCTCAGGGATGAAAACTTGTGAAAGCTGCGATGGATGGGAGTCCACCTGAGGAATGAAGTTTCAAAAAAAATGCCTGCGACATCTCAAATATTCACTTTGGCGAGCTCAGAGTTTTTCTTTCTTGTAGGCTAGCTGTGATGTGCCCAGGAAAACATTAGAGGAGCCAGATAAAACAGTCCAGACCTTTGCCTGTAGGAAGCAAACTTTGAGCTGATACAAGAGGAAAGTCTTAAGTTCATATCAAGTCACCAAAAGGAAAACTAAGGACGAGCAGTCGTGATTTCCTCAAATTTCCTAATTGAAATTTCCCCACCAACAGGGAAAAATGTCCCCAGATGGCTGTTATAATTAGAGCTAACATGGCCAGAGGAGTCATTTTTTAATATTGGGTTAAACTCAAAGTGTGCAGAATGGGATCCTGAGACAGCCGAGTCCAGTTAAGATAACAGGCCCTTGCTGTGAAATTCAAATTCAGAGCATCGTGGCGTTCACTGCTTTTAAATCTCTAAAGACAGCTTCACTCTTAAATCATTTTCTTGAGTTAAGAATAAAAATGTGACGCATTAAGGATCTGAAAGCACATTTGAGAAATAAAGAGGCGAATCATTTACCAAATGTTGAGATTTCCCCACTGACCTCACTAACTGTTGTTAAATTTCACACTCGAGTTCCAGTTTGTTTCCGTAGGGAATCAGTCAAACCCAACACCGAGAATTCTCTGAGTGCTCACTTTGTTCCGTTTCAGCGTACGTTTGAAGGCAGGATTGCCTCTGGTGTCAGTCTGCGTTTAAGTGTTGAGTGTGTCTGTGTTTATCGTGTTGAGCTCAGGCGCTCACAGCAGGATTGAAAGTTCTCACGGCGTCCTGAAGGAGAGCTGCAGCGCTACGAGATCCGTAGAGAACACAGTCGCATCGTGGCGATTACGCTTCAAACTTTCCTGCAGATTTGTCACTTAAACTAAACTGAACTTCACTTGAACTTAAGCTTGAATATCCTTTGCCGGGGCGGTGGATGACATTTTAAAATTCACTTTGATAGCACCATCGGTACATCAGACTGTCTATAGTATCCACGCACTCCTGCTGCAAGTGGATTTTCTTGATATTTATGATGCTATTTACTCTTTCCTGTTTAAAAAAATCCATTCCACCTTACCAAGAGTCTAGTGTTCACCCGCTGGCTTCGTAGCTGTCTGCATTTTACCAGCGCCAGTGCTAAAGAAATAAGACGGAACGACTTACCCTCGTACCACATTAATGAGCATGCACTAATGTATCACTGCCTGATACTGATTTACAGCTGCTTATGGCTTCAGAGGCGTTTTGTGTCTAATGTTCTCATTTCTCTTCTAAATGTGTGATGCGTTGTTGTCTATCCATGCTGAATCACATTATAATGTGTCTGACAGTGATTTGTTGTGTTTGCTTGCTTTACAGTTCTGCTGCACAATGCACTCCCATTCGTTGGATTTGGATTCCTGGACAACTGCATCATGATTGTTGCTGTAAGTGTCTGCTTCATGAGGCATGCACTCCTAGCACCTTATTCTCTCAGTCTCTGGAGGTAGCTAATGCAACCTGAAAGACTGCAAAAAATGCATTTAAAGGTTGTACTAAGTATAGATTAAATTTAACAAATAGTACTTTGTTGAGATTAGGAGCTTTGTGAGTGATTAAAGGTCGTCTCGTTGCCTTTGACATGGCTGCTTCGAAGACGAGGAACCAGGTCTGCAACCACTCGCTGTCAGTTGCTGCATGCAAAGCAGCTTTTGTGCATTAAAAATGTAATCGTAGTCATTCTGCTATCAGTTTATGATTGAATGGAGTCAAGTTGGCAATTATGTGTGACCCTTTTTGTGACGACACGGTTATTAACTGTGATGAATTGATGAAAATTGAAATTCCGGTCCAGCCAGAACCTCACACGTTTGAAGCAGAAATAGTGACATAGATGCTAAAGGAAGGTGATTTAACTCCAAAATTACAAAGGTGCTTGGCATCCTGGCTTGAGTCCCCTATTGCAAAGAGATGCACACAACTGCTTGCACTGAGCTTTCCTCTTTGTACAAATGAGCTTCTGTTCTCTTGTTTTTTCCAGGGCACACAGATTGAGTTATCAATCGGCGTGGTTCTCGGCATTTCAACTATGGCAGGTCAGAGAATCTCGTAATGTATTTGAATCTGTTTTATTTTTGAAAACACGTTTTCATTTCCTGTATTGTCCTTTTAAAGTATTGATTATATGAGTTATGTAGAAGACTTTGAACAGCAAAAGGAGGATCACCTACAGTGCTGCACTTGGTCAATTCTATAAACGTGTGTTACATATGTATTGTATATGTGTCACATTCAGATTGAAGAATATCTGCTTGTAAAACAGTCAAATCAATTTATTTGTTGCATTTTATTCCATTTAGGAAAATATATTTGAGAGTAATGCACATTCATGCTGCAGCATGCTAAATCATAGCTGACTGCCAAGTCTCCAAATAGAAGAAAAGGCACTTTTAGATGACGTGTTGACAGAGTGCGCTGTGTTGCAACTTAAACCTTAATCATGGAACTGTGACACTATTTAAAAATAATTATAAAGCGAGGTCAGATTAAAGAAAGAGAGGAGGAAGAGCGGCTGGCTACGATAAGGAAAACTTCATGAATATGTTAATGCTGTTCACAAGCACATTGAATGGGTATTGTAATATCCCCTTGACGACGCACATCAGAATTTTTGTTATCGCCCGCCACTGTTCGCCGTGTCTAAAAGAGCCCCCTACTTTACCCTAAGTAAGAATGAACACACATTAGCTTTGGGATGACCGTATCACTCAGTGCTTCAAATTTAGTGTTTTTCTTTTTGTCCAACTCAAACAAAGCGAGCGTCCTTTATATTGTCATTAATCGAAGCAGAGCTAAAGAGCAGGGGGCATTTCCCTCCCTTTCAGTGCTTCTGATTCTGTTGCTGTTGGTGGTGACGGCAGTTCTTTGTCTTTAGCTCAAGCTTTTAAACATGCAGCAGATTGGGTAAACTGATCTTTTGTCCAAGAGCCTAGGAGGTAGAAGCCAGAGGCTTTTTAAATTCCACTTCACCTGGAGGGACTGGAAAAGGAAGACTTGACCTTTTCCAGTTAAATGGATCTATAAGGGATACACTGTAGACAAGACTCATTTGAATTTTCACTTCAAACCCTTCTCCATATATTTCTAGTCAGCCAAGTTTCAGTTAAAAAAAAAAGAAAAATCTCCATTTGTTCAGTTCATTCCCAGTGAATTGATTGAATGGATGATTGGAATTTTGATTGAAGCAATTTCAGGCATGGTAGGACTCGTAGAGAGAAGGTTATCAGGCAGAATGTGCAAAATTCAGTTTTAGAGAGACCACTCTGAAGTTTGACGGGAGTGCTTGTTACCTTTGTGTGGAGAGGTTTTCTAACCCGGATTTGACAGTGAGCTGTAACAGACACCCTCATTAATCTAGTAGTTTAAAAAAAAATCTAAATCTACTGCAGAGCCACTCGGAGACAAGAAGCACACAGGACTTCTGTTCTTTCCTTAAGCACAGCCTTAACACACTTTCTATCACTCAGACCCCATTTAGTCATTCGCACTAGATTGAGGGCATTCGGGGGTCTGCAAATTAAAATGCTGCAGTTATCTAATCCGGTCCAGAGTGATTTAGCACTAATGTCAAGTCTCTAGTGAAGACGACAAATCACCTTCTAGGAGGCAAAAATGTCTCTGCTCGCTTGATGAGCGTGGAAGCTGCATGAATCGTCTACTCCTGACTTTCCTAATTACTTCAGTTAAACAGTCTTAATGATGTGAAAAGACTGCAGCTCAAAATGAATATGAGGTCAAAGAATTACACTCAAAAAAGATATATTTGGCCAAAATTCTAACTCTAACTAATTTAATTACAGGTAAATTTTCAGTGTAATTCTGTTAAATAAGTATAATGTAATGTATTGAATTAAAGAGGTCATTTTGGTTCACATGCATTCAATTCGTACCAAGAACATTTTTCCTTTAGGTTTTTCAATAAATAAACATTTGATTTGATCTATTTCAGTTTAATTTTATTCAAAATTGTTACTCATGTTTAGTGAAAGTTAATTTTCCTCCCAGTGCACAGTTTAGAACATTTGATTGATGAGACTGGTCAAACTGGTGGCGCGCAAACAAACCAAGTGGTTGAGCGTGCAACATTGGTGATAAATATGAGGTGAAACTAAGAGGTTTTTAAGGTTTTTCTTTGTTTTGGGCTTTTTTGGGGGGCAGAATTAGGGAAAATTTTAAAAAAGAAGGTTTGCTGACAAAGTTAGAGAGACAATGTTGAGAAACACTAGACGAAGGATGGTGAATACAGCGCTCCCAGGGGGAGGAAAAAGAGGAAGACCTCAGAGAATATTCACAGATGCAGTACAGGAGGACATGTAGAGGGTTGGTGCAACAGAACAGGATGTTAGGGACGGGGTGAGCTGGCAACCCTTAAGGGGAGCAAGCTGGAAGAAATAGAAGTGTAATTTTCTTTCTTGACAGAATTGGTGCTTCCAGGCTTCAGTTTGCATACTTGAAGCCTTTGCACAGCTCCAGCTGCCTCACGCAAACAAATTTTCAGCTTTGAGTGAGAACAGAAGCATGTAAGGCCACGTACTGCTGAGTGCAGGTATACTCCTGTTTTTGTCACTGTAGAGAGTGCTGTTCATGCACGCCTATAAATTATGACCGCTTGTACAGGAGCAATACAGCTAGTGCAAAATGTTCCCGCTGTCTCCCATTTGTAACTTCACATTGTTTCATGCCACATTTATCCCACAGCAGCCGTCAGTGAATAGTTCACATGCAGACAGGCTCTCTAGTTTTGCTTCAGGTGTAAAAGGCTCCTTTTTTTTGCTGCTTCCAGGCACTTGAATCTGTTCGCTCCATCAGGTTGGCAGTACTGTCAACTATTAGGCAAAAAAGTTTTAGAAAGTTCCCAAGAAATACAGTGTGAAGGAAGCATGTGATAACAGTAACAGAAAGGTTAAGAAATGAAAGTAAACTAAAGAAAAGAGTGTGCTGCTTGGCGTTTGCAATGAATTTACAGGCTTGTCGCTGCAAACACTGCAAGGTTGTGATTGAATGGGATTAAGCTGGTAATTACATGCAGTCTGTTTGTGATGATACAGCGATTAACTCTGATAAATGAGGGAAAATCCCCAAACAGCCTGTTGCTTTCCACATACAGAAATTTACATTAAGTAGGAGTTCACATGTAATACTTATATTTAGAGTCCAGCCAGAAATCAGAGATTACAAACAGGAAATCTTTTTTTTTTTTGTTACTCTTTGTCTTTTTAATTGACTTCCCTTTTTCTACTTGATAAAGTTTGTCAGAATATAAGTTAAGCTGTGATTTCTGTGTTTGCAGCTGCTTAAGAATGACTTGAATTGTGATGCATTTGCCCGCCCCCTCATCAGTCTGTTGATGTGCATCAGATCTAATGCCAAGGCCCCGAAGAGGGAGAGAAAGCAGCGAATTAAAGGCACAGCCAACCTTGTCTCGTAATTACATCTGAGCAGGTTGACCACATAATAAAGTCTCAAGCTGGCCTCTCCATCACTGCTGTCTCTTCAGTGGCTGTACAGAGGTGCAGTGTTTAACGTGAGCAAGATATTGTGTTACATCTGTTTTAATCATCTTCAGAGTGTAGATTAATTTGCCTAACGTGGCCATATTGCCTCAAAGCAACCATGCACAGCTGCACGTGTGTCCTCCTTCAGCTGACTGAACATTGAACTGCTGCATAGCCAAGAATTCAGCTTTGTGACCGTATAAAGTACTGGTACACAATTCAAGACAAAGCATGGGGCTAATGGCAGCGCTCTCTGTTTAAATGCCAACATGAGGTGAAACACACTGAAAAATTATTACACTGCCAGAGAGTAACGTTATATTTAGAAATCGACTAAAAATGTTTAAATAACAACACGAAATCTTCATCTGACCTAAATCAGCTGAAGCAACAAGCCCCTTTTCCTTTGTGGTATTTGCTGATTTACAGTCAGATTTAATGGTGCACAGTGCAAAGATTTCTGCTAAAAGTACCTTATTTAGTCCAAATATGCTCTGTGTGTTTTGGCACCGACTCTTGGGCCAAGGGTTGCACACTTTCCTTTACTTTCCTAGCTGTTGCAACAGCTCTCGCCTCTCACTCAGAGGCTCTAGTTAAGTCGCTCGTTGTTCTTGTCGCAGAAAAAGAAGCTGCTTGCTTTTAAACTTTTATAAAGCAGAAGCTTAAAGATGCTTTGCCACAGGATGCATGTGTCTCTGCTCGCTTTGTTAGTAGAGTGTTTGTCTCTGAGTAATGTGTACAATATTTATTGCTACAGTAGCTCAAAGATCAGATGAAAGTGCTCGAGACCAGCCCGAGATGATGACTGTGCCTCAGCAGTGATGACACGGTTGCGTTGTGTGTTTCCTCTGGAGTGTTTCTGTAATGCTGCAGCAGCAATGCTCTGCACTCAGGGTCAGGGACAGCTGAGAGAACAGGAGTAAAGCACAGGCTTTATTTTCTGTCCTTAGGCACAGCTGTTACAGTACCATACGGCACATTCAAAGCATAAACCGGTGACAGTGAAGTTATTTCAGCGTTCCCTCGTCCTCTTTTACTTGCACCACAGCATGTAAGAAGCAAAACGGCAGCAGTGTGGTCTTCTTCTTCAGTGTGTTGTGCCTCTGCTTCTTTGATGAGCCCATAATGCACTTGGGACATCCATCATGCCCTACGGAAAAATGCCTCTGTAACCCATGCCTCTGCTTCTCCCATTATCTACAGCTGCTGCGCTGGGCAACTTGGTATCAGATCTGGCAGGACTGGGGTAAGACTTGACACACACACACACACACACACACACACACACACACACACACACACACACACACACGTTTGGTAAATTCAAACAGTTCAGTTGAAATTTAGAATCAGTCAAGGAAAGGAAGAGCCATTAATCTGATTGTACAGCAACACGTTTTCCACACAAATATACACAGATAATAATAATAATATTTATTAACAAAGGTCCTTTTCACATCACGTTGAGAAGGTAAAGGTTTACCATCATGTTGTTCGTGGGGCTAATTCAATAAATTGCTCACTTTTAACCAGTTACTGGATGTAGGACCAGTTACTGGGTGTGGTTTGATTAAAATGGGACTGAACTAGTTCATATAGATTAAGTAGAAATTATTGTGTATTTAAAAGGACAATTTGTCCTGTAGAAAAGGGAGTTCTTTTTTAATGTGGAAGTGTGCACATGATATAATAGTTCTACATGGCATTATACCCCTGTGGCGAGGCGTGGTCTGCGGTGGTCCAGCAGGGGAGCCGGACACACCTGAGCGGCGTCCGCAATCACGCCTCGCCGTCTTAAAATCTGTGCTCTGACTGTTGTCGTTGCTGTTGTTGGAGTGTTGGAGCGTACAGCAACCGGGAGAGTCAATAAAGATGCTGAAAGCATGCGAACAACCCCGTATTAAAACATGAAATGTAAAATTTGTTTTGGACACTGACTTTAAAATGATTTAAATGTTTGGTTTTTTTAAATCCCAGAAAAATCCTTTCATTCATTTTCCTCCAATTTCTTCATTTTTATTCTGTTTCCTGTCCCAGAAACCCAGCAACAAAAACCCCATCAGATGTTTTTTCCCTTTCCTGCATAATCAAAATTAAAAGAATGAAATTAAGTAAAAGTGGATAAAACACTGACTGTAAGGACTGATGAATTTGTACAGAGTAATTTAATGTGATTTCCTCAATAACAGCGTAATGATATAGGAAAGCTTGATGCTCATGTTTCTCCGATCCTTCCATCAGCTCATGCATGACTGTTTAAGCGCCTCCTTGTGGCCACAGAGATCATAACCAGCTTCCTGAGCTGCTTCATGAGCTCAACCAGTCCCATTACTTAATATAATGGAACACCAGGGTGAATGCAATGATGGCATGCATTTATTCTCCTCCTTTTCAGTGTAAATCATACCCATGCATGGATGACAGAAGTGGAATATGCTGTTTCCTTCTGTTTTCCCTGTGATGTATTAGTCTAGTTCTTGTGGTCCATGTAAACACTCCCAGCAGGCACACACACGTGTCCGTGAGCGAGTGTGTGATTGCCGCTCAATCAAAAGAGGAAAGTGGAGCCCCCGTGGACGCTTTATCAAGGTGAGACAAGGCGTGTGAAGGCCATTTGTCTGCCTCAGAGTCTCAGTGGAGCTGCAACAAGAGATTTTCACAGCAACGTTTGCGATACAGATTTTGTTCTTAACAGGAAACGCTTTAGTGTCCACATAACACTTGTCTTATAAATTTCACTGGGAGTCGGCGGCACTTTAGTGGCTGCAGAGAGACTTCTTGCTAAGGTTGTAGGTGGACTCCAACTCTGAGATCCCAGATGACTAATTACTGCAAATATTACGGCTGGATTTCAAACTGTTTGGTTAACAGAAGTTGGCAAAATTCTTAAATAAAAAAATCCTGTGCATGTACTCGAAAATATGCATATGGCTTTCTGTTGGTGAGTTGGATTACAGCCACACTTTCAGACATTTAGTTCACCTGGAACAAGATCAGGCTTCCCATTCCCAAGCAGCATAGATGTGATGATGTTCAGCCGCAACTGAACTCACTTTCCACCTGCATAGATGAGCCAAATGAAAGACTCTGGAGACTGATTAAAATGCCTCTAACGAACTTACTGTGAACTGCAGCTTCCTTTAGCTTTCGTTTGTTGAAGTGCCTTTAAGTTTTATTTAATCAAGAAGTGAACTACTGAGTTCTAAGAAAGCTAAGAAAGTTTTCCTTCTTAGCTGAATTCTGCTGGTTAATGTGCTTGTATGTACAGAAGATCCTGATTTGGTCATCGCATTGGTATGCAGAAACCCACTGCAGCCAATGAATGCTTGTCTCTGGGTAAAATATATATTATATGCTTTTAGATCACATACACACAGAAAATTATATACTGTACCTTTTACCAGTATAAAGTTGTTTGGTTGATATCCACGTACACTTTCAGCCTGATATTTGATGTGCAGGAGTTGGTCTTCACTAAAAAGTTAAGGACATACTGTAACACAAGTCATAAACACTCTGGACATTGCATCAAAAGAGCCTCAAACCTGCTGATCCTCTGAGTTTAGTAACTCCCAGTTACTAAATTTTGACTATTATATAATCAAAGTGCACAGACGTAGCTGTCACTGCAGCATGTCCCTTGGCCAATGATGCTTTTTAGTCCTCATAATTAAGAGGAAATCTGCTCATTTAAGAGATACTGACTCACTTGTAGAGAATCTTCCGTGTGTGTGTGACTGTGCTGAACAATATGCACAACCGTTTCCACATATGTGCCAGTGCATACATATTTTATCATGTAGGAGTTCATGTTAGGCCACGTTTGTAATGTTTCACTCCGTCTGAGTCTTTTAAGTATTTCGGCAAACCTAGGAAACCATCTGAATCTTGCTGAACTCCATAATTGAGCTCATGAGTCATTCTGACCATTCAGCTGGTTATTACTAATGCTTCTGTCGAGTTTAGCCTCAGCTGTTTTAGGAATTTCTTACAAATGCAATGCATCGGTGGCTTTCTGGGGCAGACAAGGAAATGCACATTAGGGATCTTTAGGGAATACAGAAGTGGAGACGCATCCCCCTCCGTATCATGCCTGCATTTTCTACCTTACTCCTTCTGAATCCTGGAATAATCTGGATTATATTCCATTACCTTTCTTTAAAAAAAGTGGGTGAATGCCTGTGTGACTGATGCCTTTTGAACTTTACAGATTAACAATAGTGACATTTCGTCAATGCACAAAATTCTGTTTTTTTTCCAAACACAAGCTGAGTAACTCAACGTGATGGCTTTTAGTTCCTCCAGATGTAATTTTCCAAATGATGAAATGTATAACTGTGTTTCCGGGGCTTGCAATGCACCCGGCTCATGTTTCAGCCTGCTTCTCACACAATGAACAGCCTGTCTGTCTTGTTTTATGTTTTTTGGGATGAGCTCGGGCCTTTCAGTAAATTTCATCATTCCTGCATTGTGATTGCTGCAGTATTTTGTTTTGGCTTTCTTTTTTTTAAAATGCAGAGCTTATTTATTTTGCTCTCCGCTGTTACAAGAGCACGGGTAATTTGGAGTGAATTTCATCTAAAGCCGTGGATGAATGTGAAAGAAATTAGGATTGTGGCTCGGCGGTGAGACTGAATTTCAAAGAAGCGGAGAGAAAAACCAAATGCCACCCTCACTGCAGCTTACTGAGCTTCAAAGCTGTGGTCTCAATTACTTCAATTGAACCATCATTTTAAATGCGAAATAGAAGAAGAAAACATAAACTAGAGACTTAATGGCTACAGTGTATCCACTTGAGATGCTGTAAGAAAGAATATTGTCTAATGAATCTACTTATTCTCCTCATAAGGACTTAATAGCTCATCATCTGTTATGATAAGAATCAGTCCTATTTCCACTACTTCTGCTGCCCCATCCTGAAAGGCAGTGGGCTCGAAAGCACACCCCCCTGGACACAAATGCACAGGCAGACTTGCCTTTTTCTCAGATATGCTGTGTGCAGCTTATCGCTCCCCTAACAGCTCCAGCTGCAGCTTATTTGTATGTGCAGCCGACTGAGGATCCATTAGTGCCAGTGAGTGAAGCCGACCTGGGTCCAAATGTCAACCCATATTTCTTCCCTCACATTCAAAACCGCCTCACCTGCACCATATTTACGTGCCTTGGCACATGTAGGGTCACACGACAGTGTTTATGTCGGTTCCCTTCGTTTGCATATTAGAGTCCACTTCCTCCTCTCTAGCTTCAGCCAGATAATTTTCCTTTTTAATGACATTTGGCAGGCTGGCTGTCGCTTCATGTCCATTTTACACCAAAGCGGCTCTAACTGCTCACTGGAGCGTAGCAATGACCTTCTTGCTCTGTTTCCAGGATGGCCAACTGTAGAAATATTCCCACTGTTTCCAAGAGTCTTTTATTTCAGGACTATTAAGCCAAGTGTCTCTTTGGAAACACTTTTCCCCAAACAAACGAGCGGAAACCTGTCAGGTTGTGGACACATGACTGAAGCAGGAGGCACCTGAGCACAATCAGGAGTGCCACAGCTGAGGCCCCCTGTAGGTTAATCATTTTCATTTCTGTCAAATGATAGAAATGAAATGAAAGGATGATATGGCATTACCCAGTCCATATCAGAATAGAGATCCAGCAGAATGTTCTTGTTTCTAGTTGCACAGAATTCTTAATCCAATCTTACTCATTTTTCTACATCGTGGTGATGGAGCACTCTTTATCTGCTGCAATCCGTCATCGGTCCGTGATCTGTGTAAATCCACGCAAAGCCCTGGGACTGAGTTAATTTATACACTGTTGGAAGCTTCCTCTTTTACTCCATCTGTTGTTAGAGCTGAGGTTTGGCATCCTGCTGGGTTTATGAACATCAGCGACAGGAAGCAGACCGGAGCATTAATCTGTTGATTTATTTTGTCGTTATTAGCACCGACTCTGGTTGTTGTTTGCCTTGGTAGGGAAGTGTCATGTTAGCATGGGTTTATTGAATTATGATATGTAATGGAGAAAATTATCAACGGGGGGATTATTATATAAACAGAAACGATGCTATGTTACAGAAATAGCCGGAATCTTTTAACAAAACCAGCTTTGATGCAGAATTGGTTTGTGCATGCCACATTTTACAGAGTGAGACTTTTTATTTCACATAATGTTTCTTTGATTTTCTTTTTGTCACAATAACATTTCAACAAAATCACAAGACTTTGGTATTCAGACTTCATTTGATTAGAAGGTTTTGATGGACGATGTTTGTGTGTGTGTGTGCATGTGTGATATACAGCACTGTGCAAATATCTTGAGCCACTCCTCATTTCTTTGTATTTTTGCTTTCAATGAGAAAAATCACAAAACGTTTTTGCCCATATTTCGTTTTTCCATTTATGTCTGTGCTTTTCAAGAAGTCACTGCACCTATTTCCCATTTCCATAGCAAAATATTAAATAAAAGAGGGGTTGCTCAGGACTTTTGCACAGTACGCTGTATATCAGGGGTCGAGTGCCAGTGTCCTGCATGTCAGGTGTGTCCCTGATCCAATCACAGCTGATTTAAATGGCTAAATTAGCTCCTCAACATGTCCTGAAGTTCTCCAGAGGCCTGGTAACGAACTAATCATGTGATTCAGGTGTGTTGACCCAAGGTGAGATCTAAAACCTGCAGGACACCGGCCCTCGGGGCCTGGAGTTGCCCACCCCTGCTGTATATAGAGCGTTCTATCAATAGAATAATGCTGTCGCTGCAGTTTGCTGAACTGTGTTAAGTCCCCTCCTGTTTAATTCTTTTTCCATCCATCGGTCTCTCCCTCTCCTCAGGCTGGCAGGTTATGTAGAAGCGTTGGCGTCTCGGTTGGGGATGCAGATTCCTGACCTGAGCCCAAAACAGGCTGATATGTGGCAGACAAGAGTCAGCTCTCACACGGTGGGTATAGAAACAGTTACAGAATTTGCTCTGGTTCGCTCCCCCAATCTGAGCGGCTCCTGATGTGCGAGTGAAACCACTGCAAAAAAAGTGTTTCTGTTGCATTTCTGTGCAAAATGCACATCAAACCAGGACAGGCCTTTGCACGCTGACAACTCAAACGCGAGTAACACAAGTCTGTGTGACGGGGCCCAGCTTTCAAATGTCATAAAAGGAAATGGGACCTGGCGATCTTTAATATGCTATAAGTGCTGAAGCATGAAATATAATAAGCTACAGTGATTAGTCTGGCACCTGGCTGGTTGCTAAAGGCTGCTGTGGCTTGTGAAGAAATAGTTTTTAATAAATACAAGCCAAAAATAACATATCGGTCTTTGGAGATTTTAAGTGTTTGCTTCCAACCCTTTGTTAGCGTTACAGTAAAGAGGGAAGGTGTGGCATGAAAAGCACCGAGCTCAATAAAAAATGACAATAAAGACCAATTTACAGTTACATAAACAACTTTTAATGCTCCAAGTCACAGTTATAAAAAGACAATTGGTTTTACATTTGTGCCTTTATTGAACCTAGTGAATTTTAACTCGCGCTGCAGGCTGGAGAAAGCTGTCCACCTCTGTGTAAATGACTTCTCCACAGGATTCGTGGATTCAGCGGCTCCAGTTAAGGAGACCAGATTGGAGATGTGGGTTGTGGATATGTCAGTTTGTATAAATTAAGGCCACTGGTTCTGTTTTTCAGACAGAAATCAGCTTTTTTCAGTAAATAAAGGAGTATAGGGATGCACAGAGGCTAAGAAAGCTGAGGGTGTTCATCAGACAGCAATAAGGCGGGCTTTCTGCAAATAAAAGAAAAAGAAATTTGAGGGTCTCTCAAGGATTTGCCCACCTGCAAAGATCACACCTAGAGAACAATATGCAATCCTGAAATAAATGAAGAATAATCCCACGGTAACAATGTGCAGAAATCCCTCCATCTTTGCTAAAATCTTTGTTGTCTTCTTCCCACCCGCAGGGTAAAGCCATCGGCGTGGGCATCGGCTGCATCCTCGGTATGTTTCCCCTCCTCTTCTTCAAGGACGAGGATGAGAAGAAAGAAGGCCAGACGGAGGTGAAGGAGCAAACGCAGTCGCCACCTGCTCCAACAGAGAGCAGCAATAATTGAGGCGATGCTAGAGACAAATACTATTCAGAATCCGTTTGAATGCTTGACTTAATCTGACGCCGACTGCTCTCGCCTTGTGCGCTGGAGCGTATGGAAATATCAGTGAACTCCATACGGTCCAATCGCACGGCTCAGTCGAACTATCTGAGGTATTCTGAAGAGGATTTTAGATAATATTCGATCACAAACTCTGAACTTAAGCACAGGAGGCTCGTCATCTCGTGAAGAAACGACTGCTGCTACCTGATCCCGTAACCTCACTTCGTCTCGACTGACCGACACGGTCATTTGTCTAAGACACCTCCTCTTACCTCTGGCTATAGATGGCTAGATCGCATATAGGTTAACTGACAGCTTCATGCACCCCCTGAAATATTATAGGAGAAAACCCAGTTAGAGCTCAGTCGTGTTATAAAGTTCTTGTTTTCTGTCAGAAATCTTGAAAACCTTACAGGGAAGACGGAACGAAGTCAGTTTAGTGTTCCAGATCAGCCAATGTTTAAACACCTTTTCCGTGTTTCCCTGTCAGTTTTTGGTGGTTATAAACCAAGAACACGGTGTCTTCAGTTCCTAAAGCATGTAAGCTTCTGGATTTGAGCAAGTCCTGCCTCATCCACAGACCTTGACAACTAGTCCGCTGCAGGTGGTTAAATCTGTAACACCTGAAAGCTTCTTCTTCTCCTCAGTGATGCACTGCATGTGCACACCTCTGCCAAAGGGTTCACACAAATCACTGAAGAAGTTAAATGTATTTAAAAGTCCTACAAAATATTTTAAAGAAGAGGCAGAGGGAGGAAGAGGCAGTGAACAACGATATGAAGTATAAACTGTGGATCACCTGGATCCTCTTTCCTCATTTGCACTGATCCTCCGGTTCATATGTCCATATTTGCACCCACTAGACGAAATACAATATATCCCCCTCAGAGGTGAGATGATATTCAACCTCTTCTGAAAACAGCCACACGTAGAGGTGGAGGTTTGGGGGGAGATGAATGTTATTTTGCATAACGTGACTGCTGCAGTGTTTTCATTTTGTGAGATTAACTGTTACGGTGTGTGCAGACGGGCTGCATTTCTTCCTGTCCCTCACTTCTATTGTGTGTTACTGCCCTCCGCTGGCCGATAGACGGAGATCTAGTTGTTTTCTTTCAACTTGGTGGACCTGCTACGACCCCCCCCCCCCACACACACACACACACACACACCCCCACACACACACACACACACAGGCTTTAATTCGCCACAGCTCCCACAAACCTTAGCTGCTAGTCTCCCCCGGTCATAATTTCCAACTTTCCTCACATCGCTCTTCACCCTGTAATTATTTTTCTGAATGATTCTCCTTCAGGAGCTGCACTGAAGAAGTGTTTAGAAATATACGAGAGGCAGCTCTGCGTCACAGCAAATGTATTTATTTTGTTATAATATTCAGACTGGTATTCATGTACGTTTGTATTGTGTTTCTTCTCTATCTCAAAGGGCCGTGAAAATATTTATCAGCACAAAATATACCTGCGTGAGTATATTTTAGCAGCTTTCTATGCCATGAAGGACCCAGCGGCTGACCGCTTTATGTTACAGTCTGAACTCCCTACGCTTGTTCTAAAAAGACTAAGGAGACCCTGTATACCCTGTATATGACTGTTTTCAATATTTACCGCGTGGGTAAGAGTGATCCTGAAGAATGATAATAATGAAGAAAATGAACGCGTACATATATGTAGCTAGGATTTTTGAGTTTTTTATCTTGATTGCTTGACATCCACCTTGCATGCACTGTTAATAAAAAGAAACCTTAATTTAAAAAAACAGTATGTTGTAAGGTTGTGCATCACAGCAGGATGACTCACTGGTGGAGGATAAAGGAGAGGTAAAGTACTCATGCTGAAATAAGATGCACAAGTTATTTAAAATAAATAAAAACTATTTTGTGGCCACAAAGAATCATGTGCTTCAATTTAAGATGGCTAGCGATAAACTTCAGTTGCTTAAAATTGGATTGTCTGTTCAAAGCAAAAAGGATTTTATGAAGGATGGGAAAGGTTTGCAGTAATAACAGCAATTTGCCTCTTTGAACGGCGCGGTTAAATGGCCTGTCCCAGGCTTTAAGGCTCTCTTCAGTGTGCCAGCCGCAGTGAAAACATATAATCTCAGTTAAAGTATGGTAATACTGCCTTTTCCTGGATACCATTTAAAATACACGACTGAAGTTATTGTGCTATTGAGAGCCAACAAGATCTCCAGTTCACAGAAATTTTGAGCTGCGATCTCTTTTTGTTGTTGTTGTTTTTTGAAAATAAGGTAGAAAAAGAAATGTTTGAATCCAGCATGCTGCAGTCAAATGCATGCATTGAGGATCTTTTTTGTTTGACGTTCTGGTGTTCCTCGAATGCTGTGAGTTGGTAAGTTGTTTAAATTCATTGCATTGGTACAAGCAGGAGCTGAGATCAGCTTCATCTCTCTAGGAAACTTCATTTTAGCCGAGAATAATCAGTTTGCCCAGTTGCTCCTGTGTTGTGATGGAGTCCAAGGGGCTGAAAAATTCATGTTTTGCTGTCTGTGAAGGTGAAGATGTGCTCTGTGCAACTGTATAAAGAATAGAACCATTAAAATAATCCTTAAATATAATGTAGACGGATAAAACTGGTGTAGATTATAGGAGTGTGTTGCTGTTTTGTTTCAGAATTGATCTGCTTTGATTAAAGTTGCGACCTGGCTGCAAACATCTTCCCTGGTGTGGACTTTGCCAGAATGTTCTGCATGAGGACGCTGTTTTTAAATGTATGTAATGTAAATGCGTGGCCTGCAGCTCTTCAGCCATCAGGCTATCTACAAATGATGATTAAAAACTTTGCCTTTGGATCATTAACATTCTGTCAGCTTGGGAAAGCGAAGCTGTGCTTTTCTTCATCTGATCCAGGAACTTCCAGCCTCTCCTTCTTTTTTAATATCTCTTCCTACTCCTGTGCAAGCGATTGGATCAAATAGTAGCAAAGATTTAGGACGACTAGCACAGAATGCATGAACAAATGAAAGACAAGGACTGAGCCTGAACAATAAGTGGAGGCTTTTTCTTGCTTTATATTGTTCATTAAGGACAGTTAAATTTTGTTTTGTTATTTGTTTCGATGATGAAATGTATGATAATCTTTTTTTTTTTTAATTCTGTAATTTGATCAAACTTCATAGATTTTTTCATTTTTTCCTTTCATCCTGTACATTTTTGTAGCTTGTGTGGAAAACTTATCCAACTTGTTTCCACATTTTTAGGTGACAGGTTGAGGATTTCTAAGAAATATGCAAACACTACAGCTGACTAAAAAAAGGCGCATACTCTCAACTTTTCTAATCCCTCTAGATGATTGGTTATATTTGCAAAAACTAGTTATGCAAGCATCCATACTTTTCTGATCAGCTGTTGTTGTTTTAATAACAGCTGAGGTATTTGAGTCTCTCTAAAATGAAAACAGTCAGGCAGTGTAGTGATTGTTCACTTCATTTTATACATGTTTGTTTTCCTCTCGTCTTGCCTCACAGTTGTCATTACGTGACTGAATTCAGGCAGAATCACTGCACACGCACACCCACACACGTCTGTGTCACATGGGAAAAGACGTGACACAAGGGACAAAGACGGAGCCCCTTTGAGAATATCATCCGAGGTTAAATTGCTGTGAGGAGAGGCGTCGCATGGAGAAGGAGAGCAAACTGTAAGAACGAACACAGCAAATGTTTTCTTCTGACATCAGAAATTGTTTGTTCCTAAAAGAGGTTTTACAGTCATATCTTCAGAGCACAAAAACAAAAAGCGTCTTCGTTATAGTTTATAATAAACCTGCAACAGAGTTTCATTCGAGCTTTATTTGTTACTCAGACTTTCCTCCACACAAAACACTAAAATGGAGCACTGGTGTAATCAGAAAATCTCACATTCTCACAGTCAGTACAATTAGACAGCAAACATCATCAAAGCAAATACAAAAATATCTTCAGTATCGGTATTAAATCATTTAAATAGCTGCTCGTCAACATATTCATACTGTAAATCTGCCCCTCTGCTCTAAAATCACAGCGCCGACACAGAAACCCGTGGAGCCACAAATATGTTGCCGGGTTAATGAGGCCTGTGGGTACCAAGTGTAATACACTCACACTTTTTAGACCTAAATGCTCAGAACTTTTGGCCCAAAAGGCATCATCCCTAAGATTTAACATCATGACAAGTACTCATGTACGTTCAAAGATTACCATATTCAAAAAAATTTAATAGCATTTTTAACTTCCTTTAAAATACCCTGGTATGTCTATTTTTTAAGTGTTAAATTCATGCTTTCTCCTCATCCCATGTTTTGTGAAGCAGCTGTAACATCACCTGATATGTCAAAAAGTCAAGCCTCAAAGCAGAGCCTTAATAAATTAAGGGTTTAGTCAGTATGTAAAAACTGAGCCAAACAGGCAAACATTTTCTGTCGTTATCAAGTTTAGATTAAATTCCAACACGGATAATAAAAAAACATTAAGATTGTTCTTCCAACGTGATTAAACGTGATGCACTAGGCAACTTGTATAATGCATTGTAAGACATTTTCAAATGTGATGCGCATTTTCTTTACAAAACAACATCTTGCACTGCAACTCGTGTTATAACAAACGTATTGAAAAGCTATCACATAGCTTGCAGACAGCACCATTAAAGAACAATCCGACTGTGCCACCTTTAAAACTACTAATGCTCCAAAATCTATAATCAGTCCTAAAATAAAAAATAAAAAAAAGTACTGCAAAATAAATTAAAAAGGCAAAGGTGTCTCATGTTTACAGTCTGTAATCTGCACATTAACTTCTAGTTTTTCAGCATCATCTGTGCAAAGCGAAACGCTTGTGCAGAGAAGAAAATGAATTCTGATGCAACGCCATCGTGTCACATGGAAAAATGGCTGTTTATGTCAGTCAGATGACTTTTCTTCATGACTTGGCTCAGCTCAGTTCACACAACCACCAGATGTCTCTGTTAAATCAAACCTCCGCTGCTACAAAGAATCACGGAAACATCACTTTTTCAGATCATAATTTCCATTTTGAGCCTTTTCTCAGTTTCCTTGACATTTTGCCAACAGGGACTGAGCACTGCGCACATTAACTACCTTCACTTTTGTCACTGTTAGAGAAAAGGGGACTTTCAGTAGAGGAATAGATCAACTTTACTAATTTAACTATGGGAAGTGTACTTTGGCTTTCAACCAACAGGGGCAAAAGATTTCATTTTATTTCTTACCTTTTCCTTTTTGTTCACAGGGACTGAAGCCAAGAAATATAGAAACTATAAAATACTAGTCTCCTCACCTGAAGGAGCTGCCATACTCATTAAAAACATTAGTAATGGTTAACAGTAATATTAAGGCTTCCACTAAAAAGCTTAAGAGCTCCATGGTCTGATTAGTTTTTCATGTGGTTTTAATCCAAGCCAGTAAACAGTGGAAGTATTGTGGCAGTTCATGATTAGGTCCACACACTCGGGGGTCACTGACAGTGGCTGTTGGGATATAACAGTGGGGCGAACCATCACCCACACAGATCTACAAAATCCTCTGGGCAGAGCGAGTGCAGCGGGTGCAGCCTCCTCTTGGCATGCTCCTCTGCAGCCTCACAAGGGCAGCCTTTGTGTGCCGCCCGAATGCGACCGAGTACAAGCATGTCTAAGAGCGGCTATATGTGCGTTTTTGTTTCCTAGTGTCTATTTATGCATGAGTTTGCGTGTGCATGTGTCCTGGTATTTGTGGCCCGTTTATGAGCTGCTGACCCGCTGTGCTGGCTGAGATCCCACCAGTCAGTGGGACAGCACAGATTGAGGACAGGAACGAAAGTGAGTCTCAATACTCTCTTCACACTGTTGTATTGTTGTTGGAGGAGGCAGGCTGGTGCTGGTGAGATGGCCAAGGAGGGAGGAAAAGCTGCAGGGAGCGGGAGTAGGTAAAAGGGGAAAGGGGGTTGGGGGCCAGCATTCTGGTGGCAGTGGTTGTACCAGAACCATTTCCTCAGCTGAGGTTTTTCTTCAGTGTCTGCCTGATGAGCTTCAATCATGGGAGAGGGCTCTCCCCGTACACATCCAGTACCATAAGTACAAATTTCCTTTACTCTGTATAGTCAAAATAAATAGCACAATGTTTTCCCATTTCAAGCTGGCTGAATGCCCTAGGGATACTCATTTGTCTTTGAGAGGAGACAGAGTCCTAAAAGCCTGGTAAAAGAACGCAAAGTGAGATTTTCAGTCTTTGTCATTGTTGTTGGAGTGAACATGCTGGCACTGGGCTGAGCACGGAGCGGAGGAGGAGACAGAGGAGGTTTTAGTGGTGGTGGGTTCCCTGGGTTTATGTTTGCGATGCAGGGCGACTGCAGCCAGAATGCTGATTATGTGCACGTGGAAGTACATGGACCTAGGTGGGAAAAACAGAGTGGAACTTTTATTATGTAGGGAAAAAATGATCCAGCTACATTTATACTAGATTCATTAATAATTCAGATTAGAAACGAGCAACAATATCACACTTAACTACTAACTTATGACAAGAAACCATGCGCATTGTGTTTACAATGGGCCAAGCAGTCATCATATGTTTCAAAACTAGTCACATGGCAACAACATAATGCATTTAGGCACGTGAGTATGGTTAAGATGACCTGCTGAAGTTCAAACTAAGCAACAGAATGAGAAAGAAAGAAAGGTGAAGTGAGTGACTTTGGATGTGACATGGTTGTTGGTGCCAGATGGCTGGAGTATCCTGAGCATTTCAGAAACTGCTGAGCAACTGACAATTTCCCACACAACAGTCTGGTGGTCCAAATGGTTAAAAATAAATAAATAAAATAAAAATATATCCGGTAAGAAGCAGTTCTCTGGGTAAAAATGCCTTGTTGATGCCAGAGGTCAAAATGGCCAGACTACTTTAGAGCTGATAGGAAAGTAACGGTGATTCACATTATTACACCCAAATAATTACAACCAAGATATGCAGAAGACCATCTCTTAATGCACAATAGTAGCAGAAAACCACACCATGCTGTCAGCTAAGAACAGGAATCTCACAGTGGCTCTCCAAAACTAGACACTGGAAGAACGCTGCTTGGATAAGATGCTGATGAGTTACAATTTCTGCTGCCAGATTCAGACGTTAGGGTCAGAGTTTGGTGTAAACACCATGAAAGCATGACTCTACAAGGCACGCCCTGCATGGTATTAATGGTTCAGGCTGCTGTTGGTGGTGCAATGGTGTGGGGGACCACACCTTGGTACACTTTGAGCCCATTAAGCTCAAACTGACCTACCTGACTATTGTTGCTGACCATGTTCATCCCTTTGTAACCACAATGTAACTAGTTTTTAATGGTGCTACCAGCACAATAACACACCATGCCAAAATGCAGAAAAAATTAACCCCAAAACTGGTTTCTTGAACATGAAAATGAGCTCACTGTACTCAAATATCCTCCACAATCAACAGCTCTCAATCTAAAAGCACCTTTGGGATGTGGTGGTTTAGGAAATTCACATCATGGATGAGCAGCAAAGAAAATCTGTAGCAACTGTCATGCTTTTGCATGTCAGTATGGACTAATGAACCTAGGTGAACCAATGCTGCGAAAACACTGAAGCAGGGCCTTCAAAACTACACCACGCTAATACCAGTATTAGCATGGTAAACCTAATAAAATGGCCAGTGAGTGTGGATTAAAAATTGGTTCTAAGACCATCAAAACACACACGAACATGAAACGTCACAGAATTGTTTTATGTTTTTAAATAGTAAAGGATTTTTAAATACTACATAAACACACAGTTGCGTGCTCCTATATGGTCTACAGGTGTGCACACACACATTTACTGCAGAAAATAAGGAAATAAAGGGGATTTATTATGCTAGAGCTAAAGGAGAATCTAGAGCACTGCAAAGAGCAGTCTCGGGGACTTGCCCTTACTTCCTGTCTCTCGCTCAACTGTCAAAGAGAGGAAATGTGGCCAAGAACGGTTTATTGACGCATGATATAAGAACTGTTGACAATCCACTCGGCATGCCTGTGGTTACAGTCAGCGTGATTACGCCTCTTTGGAAGTTTATGGATGTATGTACAGGGGTTCCTGCTCACCTTCACATGTATGAGTACATAGAAAGATTAATAGAACGCAGAACCACACAGCTACAGAGTTGAAGCAAAAGGATAATTTGATTAAAGCGGGGTATGACGTACCTGTAATAAACTATAGTGTAGTTAACTGCAAGAAGGAGAAAAGGCATGACAGTGTAGCAGATGGCCAGCTGTGTGGCTGCCCAAGTCAAGATGTCATAACCCAGCTTCATGACTCTGGAGCCCAGGAAGTAATGACGAATTGACCTCCGTATCTGGTGGGGAGAGGCAGACGGACAACAATTATCGTTTAACAGATGACAGGATTAGTGTATTCAAGGAAAACTTTTGTTGAACTATTTAATTAACATGCGAGAAGCAGAAAGTGCCAAGTGCAATAAAAAGTCAGTTAAAGCTGTTCCCAGAGAGTTTTTGTTTGAACAGGCACCAAAAACATTTTTAGAGCCACTTTCATACTGATAAGATATGTTTTTGTTTGTAGTTGTACTGAGGAAACTGAAATATCCTTAATCTTCACAAAGCTACCGTTGTAAATGTAACAAGAGCTGTCCCATCTATTCATGGTCAGTTTGTGTCCATACAGTCCGATTACCTTCCATTTGTATTTTAGAGCATTACTTTGCAGAGAATGTAGACAACTTACAGCTCTTGCTGCTATGGTGATGGGGATGGCGGTGAGGAAGGTAAAATAGTACCCTGGATAAACACCATGCCACAAAGCAGACAGGATAAAGGTCAACGCCAAACGGTGCTTTGGTGCTCGGTCATAGCACACCCTGAAAAAGGAACGGGTTGGGAATTTCACTTTTTTTTTCCCACTTTCCGACTGTGCACACAATTTGATTTCACACTCACAACACTTACGTTTTAAGCCAAATTCCTGTTCGAATATTCCAGTTGTCTATGAAGGTCTTGAAGCTGGTTGCTGTCTAAAAGAAAAAAGATCAGTAGCTACAATAAGAGTGCGCTCCAGTGTCTAATTAACTCACAATTGGACACAGTGCTGAAAGCTCATGCTCTCGATTTTAAGCATCTGAAACGCGGCACCTCAATCCCGATGATGTTGAGGTTGCTGATGAGGTCCCAGGATGGCTTTCCATGTTCATCCATCCCAAGGAAACCATATCCTGCAGCATTGTTGACTGCATCAGCTGACAGAGGAAGAGGAAGTTCATCACATGACATCCGTGGCATTTGTCCCCAGAAGCAATAAACAACAAAACAAAAAACTGGCCAAGTAAAACACACAGACGCACTAAACACCCACCTAATGTCCAGGCGAAGTAGAATTTGGGCCTTGCAGCTTGTATGGAGAAGAAAGCATAAGTGAGCCTGGTGAGGAAGGAGGCTTGGCTCACAAAGTCGGGGTCAACGTTGTACTTTATGGGCAAGGACCGAGTGACAGTAAGGAAGAACAGCATACAGCCGGCGCAGACTAGCAGCTTATGGCAAACGGCGTTCTGCAGAGAAAGCAAATTACTTCTGAGCACTGTTAGAAGCACCATTACAAATGGATAATATTAGGATTACCATTAAATCTTAAGCAACTCTCAAACTAGCAGAAATCAGCATCTATGGCTTAACTTAACCCAAGAGAAACCAGAAACAAACTATCAGTTTGTAGCTCTGCTCTAGTGGATACATTTAAAATGTTCACCACAGAGGTTACACATTTTCTTTGAAGCTGAAAAAAGTCCTCCTGGGTACCTCAATAACATCTGACCTTCTGCGACTATATGTTTGTAGCAAATTTTTATCTAGTCCACATCAGCCAAGACCTTTCTATAGTTTTTTTATGAAAATGAAGCCACGCAAAACTTTAACCTCCCTACTGAAGGTATTTTCTGAGTTATAGGCCCCCATGTAATTTATGTTAAAGAGGTTAGGTTGAAATTTGGTGCTTTTTAGTTTACCTTATTGTTTTTTCCAGCATAACTCCTTAAGTACAACAGCTATCACATGAAACAAATTTCAGCTATTAAAAACTGCAACCAATGTAATTTTACACCCTCTGCAAGTTTTACAATGTAAAGAAAAATCTAATTTTCTATAATCAACTTTCAGCGCTAGCATCACGGGATGCATCATAATTTTGATAGCAACTTTGCACAGATTTCAATTACTATAACAGAGTAACCGAAATAAACATTTATAGCTTAGACGTTTTATTTGTTTTCTGAGAATTCAATAGAGAACTTCAAGGGTGTTTTCACGAAGTTGGATAGATAACAGGTCAAAAGAAGTTGCATCATAGCAAGGTCGTTTTGCTCTTTAGTCCTTAAAAGTCCTGGCCTGCTAACGTGAACTTTAAGGGCCTGTAATTCCAAAAATATTCATTGTGCGTAGGTGAAATTTTGCACATCTTTATTCAATTTAGACTCCTCTAAACACCTGTTCTAAGTTTTATCTACTCTTGTTTCTGTAGGATATTAAGAAGGCCAGATCCTCATGTCAATTCAGACACGCAACTCTTGCTGTGAGCTTGTGTAAACTTATTTCCAAGGAACAGCCAATCAGAAGAAAACTAGCTAAGAAGATGGGGAAGAGAGTCAAAATGACCTACTTCAGAAACTGAATCAAGTGTAAGCATGCACCACATCCCAGTAAAAGAATTATTTTTGAACTGTGAATGATGTAAAGTAAAGGACAGTTCAAACACTCTTTCAATAAAACAAGAACAAGAAGTAAAGCCACTGTAGTAAAGTTACAGAGATTCCAACCAATGGAAGAAGAAACATATTGCTGGATAAGCATTTAATCCCCCTCCTGATAAAACAATAACCTATCAATATAAAAATGAAAAAAGTTAAAGACTACAAGAGTAGTAACCAGTATTCATGAACTTACCAGAGGTGATGGGTCCTGGGTCTTATTGTAGCCATTCTGCCGATTACTTGAGGCATGCTGCTGCTTGAGCCTCGTGCTGATGTGTCTGCCCTCTATGAAGTCTATGTACTCTTTGTAGTTACTGCATGGCCCCACCAAGACACTCAGAAAGTTCAGATTGTAACTCAGGTACTCGATGAGAGAAGGCCTCACACTACAAAGAGACGAGGCAGAAATCACTGAAAAGAAACAAACCTTTTCGAAACACTAACTGAGATCGCTTTGAGTGAAACGTGACGGTGCTACTTTAGATTTTCTTCCAAGGTGATCTGAGAAATACATGCCATCTAGTTTTAAATTAAACATCCAACAGGTCATGATCAGTCAGCATCATTGCATCTTTAACTCTGTTTCTCTGACCCTGTACATATGCCAGCTGCCGAGCAATAAAACGAACCAGGATGGGTATTAAAACCTGACCTAATTCACGACCAAATGCGCTTCCATCCATGTTACAAACTATGTGTAATATTTACAGTACAGGAGAACTTGTATGCAAAACTGGAATAAGGACAATGTCTGGTCCCTGATAAATAAGAACAAAATTAGTCCAGTTAATCGAATATTTAAGTATTATGACAAACACATCAATTACCAGATTTACAGCTACTGGGTTATTGCACAGGTAGGCGGCTATATTTTATGGCTGCTTTTAAAATACATTTTAATTCATTTTAAAACGGCATGCATGGTACAGTCCACTGATAATGTGATTTCATGAATTCACATGCACAAAAATGTTTTCCCATGCAAAACGATGTCTCTTTTCTAAGTTCCCAGCATGCTTTTTTCCATAAATAAACTATTCACCATGATTTCATGTCCTTGTCATTGTCCTTCGTGGCTAAAGGAAAAGAAACAGTTATTTATTCTTTAAATAAGGTCCAAGTTCAGATGCACTGTTAAAGTATCTGCACATGTAAACTTTACATTATAGGATTACACTCACCAGTTACGTTATTAGGTACACCTGCTAAACTGCTCCTTAATCCAAATGTGTAGTCAGTCAATGACATGGCAGCCACTTAATGCATTTAGGCATGTAGACACGGTCAATGCTGAAGTTCAAACCGAGCAGTACAGTATAGAATAAAGTTGAATTAAGTGGATCTGAATGTGGTATAGTTCTTATTGCCAGACTGGTGGTTCAGAAAAAGCTGATTTTACTGGGATTTTCTCACACAATTATCTCTGGAGATGGTCAGAAAAAGAGAAAATCTCCAATAAGCAGTGGTTCTCTAGGCAAAAAAGAATCGCTGATGCCAGAGGTCAGAGGAAAATCGCCAGATTGGTCAAGCTGATAAGAAGGCAATAGTAGCTCAAATAGCCACTTGTTACAACTAAAAGCTACAGACGAGCATCTGTGAATAGAACAGTTATCAACCCTTGAAGCAGATGGGCTGCAGCACCAGGTACCACACTGAGGCTACAACTCACACGAGCTCACCAAAACTGGACAGCACAAGACTAGAAAAGGTTACCTGGTCTGATAAGTCTTAATTTCTGGTGCAACATTTGGGTCGGGGTCAGAATTTTGTGTAAACACCATGAAAGTATGGATCCATCCTGGTTTGTATGAACAATTTAGACTGGTGGTGGTGGTGTAGTGGTCTGGGGGCTATTTTTGGGCCACACTTTGGGCCACTTAGCACCTTATGCGCATTGTCCAATGGCACAGCCTACTTGAGTATTATTGCTGACAATGTCCATCTCTTTATGACCACAATGTACTCATTGTCTAATGATTGCTTCCATCATCATATCTCACATCATCGCAAACTGTAGTGGATTCCAAAGACCTCCACAGTCACAGTTGAATAGAGCACCTTTGAGTTGTGATGGTACAGGAATGTGAAATCATTCTGCATAATGAAGGTGTAGCTGACAAATCTGCAGCAGCTCTGTGATGCAGTCATGTTGACAAAGACCAGAGGTAGGCAACTCCAGGCCTCGAGTACCAGTGTCCTGCATGTTTCAGGTGTGTCCCTGATCCAATCACAGCTTATCTATATGGCCAAATTACCTCCTTAGCATGTCTTGAAGTTCTCCAGAGGCCTGGTAACAAACTAATCATTTGATTCAGGTATGTTGACCCAGGGTGATATCTAAAACCTGCAGGACACCGACACTCGAGGCCTGGAGTTGCCCACCCCTGATATAGACTAAAATTTGAAGAATGTTTCCAGCACCTTGGTGAATCAGTGCCATGAAAAAAATAAAAGAGTTCAAAATGCAAAAGGGGGGCCAACCCAATACTAGCAAGTGTACCTAATAAAGTGGCTGGTATATGTAAGTTTATCTATGCAGACTTGAAGGCTAAAATCAGAGACATAGGAAAATCCCACAGAACTCTAGTCTGTTAAAATCAGACTCTGTTTAAGAAAACCACACACACAGTTACCACTGTAAGTTACTAGCTTGCTTTGCTGTGTAAACTTACTTTATAGCCATGAGCTTCTGCTCCTGTGGCAACTGTTCAGTCTTCTTACACATACCTGAAAAAAATATGGAGTTGTTGATATCTTTAATTCCCCCCTCCCCCCTTCTCTTGTCCTTCTTTAACAGATGTTTAATTCTGACTCACCGAAACACTAACAACTCACAATGGAAAAAAAAACAACACAAATGTTACTAACAACATCAATGACTGCACATTTTGTGGCTCCCAATTATGACTTCGACATTACATTAGAAGAGAATCAGAAGGACGTGTTTTAATAAAAGCCTAGGCTACATGTTTTACAACAGGTGTGAAAATCTGTGTAAAAGCCTGCCATCCCTGTTAAGTTACTCAGACAGCATGCTGTGAAAGGCTTGCCAATGTGCTGAGCTTCCATATGTATGTGTGCATCCACTTGTCTGACTTACCGTCGTGGAGCTGGAAAGCCAACGTGGTGAGCTTCTGTGTTACTATCATCAAAGGTCTGGGCAGAGAAAGATGGTAAATTATTGTTTTTAATTTATCTTAAGAAGTTTAGAAATTGATGCTCACAACCTGTGCCTGATTGTAGGTGAGCAAATTTGAAAAGATTTCACTTTAATAATCATTTTAAATTGTATAAATGTTGCAAGTATGATAGCATAGCAATTCTAATATATGGTTTTGTTTTGTTTTTTAAGTGAAAGTAAAAACTTAAGTCATTTAAAGCATTACCAATTTAAGCACAGCACTTCCCAAGCTCACCGAGCCTCTGTGAGAGACTCTTGGATTTATTTACCATTGTGAATCACTTCATTCTTCTCTAGTTGTGGCAAATCAGGTCACTTATTAATCCAATGCAATACTTTCCTATCCCCAGAGCTTCATTGGATCATCGGGCCCCTTTTAAACCAGCACAGCTAGATTTTCAGCTTATCAAGCACACATTTAGGAAACTCATGTGAATGTGTGTCCACATATAAACTACGTCTCTCTTGCACACACACACTAGTTTGTGTTGGTGTGAGGGCTGCATTGTGTGCACAGCATGGAAAACTGAGGCAGAGAGAGGCTGGCCATGCGGCTGGCAGTGCCAGCTCAGTGAGAGCTGGCAGGGGGCTCTGAAGTAATGTTTTCAGCCAGTATGTGCAAAACTCCAGTACTATAGCATACAGGCTCCATTTTCCATTTTGTACATTATAGAGCGGGCATAGTACCTATGATTTTCATGTCAAGTGTCAATTTCAGTTCATGGAAATGCTCTTGAACAAATGAAAACAGACTTTAGAGATAATGGCTAGATGCATAACACCCTACTAAAGACAGAGCAAGAAATATAGAGGGAAACCAGAAATCTATCAGCATGAATGACTGCTGTTCAGTCTGACTCACACAACCTTTGCTCAGAAACAAAGTTAAGTAGTGAATGTAGTTTGTTTTTTGGGGTTTTTTGTACTGAATTGATACCGAAACATGAAAGTGTATCGAAAAATAAAATAAAATCTGGATCCCTAATTCAATATGGGATCACCAGAGGCTGACTCACAGTCCTGGCTGCTCATCTCTAAAGTCACATGGAGTCTAAATGAGGCTGCCAACAAATTAATCCACACTGGAACAAGGCAAAGTAGCTGCTGCTGAATACAGAGGCCAGCAAAGTCAGCTGTCGCTTTATAAAGTATAACCACACATAGAAAAACAGACATTTCCAATAAAATGGGAGGCAGAAAGCAGCCTAAGCTGGGCAGCGTCAACTGTGAACAATGCTGCTGCTATTTTTTTTCTTCTTCAGTTGTTTTATATGTACACAAGGCTGGGGGAGTCGGTGTGTAAGCTGGTACCACCAAGGGTGGAAACTGATAACGTATCTAAACCTCAAATGTCTCCATAATGTGCTGTCACAAAGAAGGTGTGGCAAAGAGGAGAGAAAAAGAAATGCTTCAGATTTTCCTCACCCAGAGAAGTCAGTGGAAGGTATTCCATAGTTAAAGATGAAGACTCGGCTCACTTGGCACGCAGTCAGATAGCCCATAGATATCACCATGGAATACCTGAGTGGAAAAGAATGACACAAAGTAAATAAAGTAAAGGGCAGTTCAATCAATCGTTTAATACAATACCTAGAAAAAAAGAAAAAGGACAAGCTGGTGTGTTAACAGTTGAGTCACCAGCAAATGCATTTGAGGAGATTAAGAAGTTTCCTTAAGTTATGAGTCATTAGAAATTACTGGAAGTGATTGTTGCCTCTCTGGGTTACTTCACAAAAATTAAAAAAAAAAAAAGTGAGCATAATGTTTCTTTTTTTTTTAAATATTTGTGCCATTTACACTACCTCTAAAACTTCCAGCATGGTTTAACTTTGACAAGACGCAACTATTTCATCACACTCTCAAATGAAAAACAAAAGAATGAACAGGCACAGGTAAGAACTTGTGTCATTTCTGCAGGACTGAAAACCTGATATTCTGCTTTACATTTCACATTGTCAAAAATTTTTAAACAGTTACAAACATCGGCATATCTTAAAGTAATGATCACCCGTTGTTCTGATCGTTCCCTAGATTGTCCCGGCTTTAACCTAAAATGTTCAATTACTTTGTTTCCCCGTATCAGTGACACAGAGGCGTGTGTCCAGAAGCCCATGTTGAGTTTACACAGTGTTTTGCCTCCAAAGCCATAGAACAATACCAGTTCTACTTTGCTCTACATACAGGTAATCCTTGAATACCTCACCAAGATAACCGTACAATTTTGCTCTAGTCATAAAAAAAACAAAAAAGCAACAACTGCCAGACACACCTGAGCCATGCTGTCTGAAGTCAACACCCATATCCACCCAGACGTAATGGAAAATGTGGATGTGCTCTTAAGAGTTCCACTGAAACGCCGTAAACATGAAAGTTTCAACATCCGCATAAACACCTGCTAGCTATCTTCATGAGTAGACTGGTCAGGCTGGCATGCCTGGCTGCCTGTCGCCTGACGTGTTCTCCAAAGGTTTCATGCCTTTAAAAAAGTACTTTCGTTCAGGCCACATTGGAACAGGAAGACAAAGGGGGCGAGGTGAAGTAGAATGAAGTCTTTCTTGGAATGCGCGGCAGGGAGTGAATGAGTGGTAAACTATGAGTGGTAAACTTCAAGGGCTTAAACTGAGCAACTTAGCCCACCTATGAAGTGAATGGCTTGTGGGCTGGGTTGATCTCGTCTGGCAAGTTTGACCTGAAAACAGCAACAGCTAGTTCTGCAGCCCTATCATGGTAAATGCAGTCCTGTCAATCACATACCGGCTTGATGAAGCAGGCACGTCAGTCAATGCAACCGGAAAGGTGTGTGCGCAATGAGAACGACTACAACCAGACCGACTAGGCTTAATTCATGGTTACAGGAATTATGGGCAAAAGAGCAACAGTTGCACAAGCCATGTAAGAATCCACTGGTGTTTCAGACTTTTGTTTCTGTCTTTCAGAATCCATTATATAGCCATTCCCTAGACTTTTATGTTGATTGGCCTTTGAGGCTTGAATTTACCTGTGCACATTGTTGAGGTCAGCTTTGATGATGATCAGGTAGTTTGCAACAACCACAACCAGGATGTGAGATGAATACCTGCAGAAGTGACACAAAACATTGTGTAGGTCTTTTCAATGACACAGGCAGCATGTGCCAATACAACTTAAACACATTTCCCACAGATACCTGCTGCTAAAGCACTACAATACACACCCATACAAATACATGCGTTTCCAATTTGTCTCATGACCGCATACCCTCAGTGTTCTACTACAATTATAAGCCCGAGGCATTAAAAACATGTTCTAACTGTGCACCCAGGCCAGTTAGTACCATGGCTATTTCAATGTTGTAGTTTAGCATTGTCTTGCTGAAACAAACAATATGCATGTTGTCAGAGTGGCTATATTATTTTGCTCTAAAACTTACATTATTATTAATGTGGCCTTCACAAAAGGTGGATGATACCAATGCCTTGTGCATTAAAGGACCTAGACACCACAGATGATGCTGTAGTGGCAGGAGGCAGAAGTGTTTTCTTGATCTGGTTCACATGAAGTGTTCCTGAGCGCATGCAATCATTTTTCCTACAGAAGGTCTGTTTTTAGTGCTGCAGCCTGAGGGCCTGAGACCATATTCTTAAAGAACTGTTGATCCAGTGGGCTGGTCTTTTTCTTCTTACGTTGACCTGCTACCATGTTTTAAGCACATATTTTTCCAAGGACAACACCATTTTTTCTTTCAGCATTTAACACATTGCTTTGTAGTATTTTTCCAATTAAACGTGTGATGTAAATGATTCATTAATCACTGCATTCTGATTTTATTTAAATCTTATACAGATGGGCCCACATACAGCCCACTTTGATATTAAGTGAGGCTAGTGAAACTCCCCTTTCTGTCATTGTAAAGACATTTGAATATTTAACCCCTGAGACTTCTTAGTAGAAGAAAAAGAAGTGCCGTTTCAGTACATCTTAGTTGTTCAACATAAGTGTGTGAAATTACAGAAAAAGTTCTGGTAGCTTATTGCCTAGACTGTTCTGTAATTATAAAATATAAAGTTTTTGTTCATTGACAGAAAACACTTTTTGAAACATGGACACATAAAATATCTTTGACTCACATACTGGAGGAAAAAAATGAATGGAGTGGTGTGTGAGACAGTGCCATACATTACCATCCAAAGCAGAAGACGAGAAAACCAATACCGAGCAGAGCGGCAACAAAGTGCCTGACCAGGGGACTGACATGGGCCGGGCTGAGGTAGAGACGAAAGCAGAAGGCAGCAGTTATGGCAAACAGCTGGCATGCCAGAAAATTCACCTGTGTGGGAAGAGATAAAAATGAGGATTGGGGTGAACAGCAAAGAGAGATAATCAACAAACATTTCACGTTTTATACTTTTATAGGCAATTAAGGGCTTTAAGGTATATTATCATAGTGTACTATGATAGTGTAAAAATGTTATAGGGACATAAAACAGCAGCGTATGACACGTTGCAGGACTGTATCGTTATTTTTATTATTAATAATTTTCTTTAAAACGACAGAATTTAGTTTTTGGACAAAGCCTCCAATAAAAGGACAATAATGTGGACGTGGACGACTTTTAAGGAGCCACGGCACGTGTGTCCCACAAGTGACACAAGGTTAATTGACGGAACATCATTTATGACATGAAATTTATTTATTTTTTAAGAAAAAACCCCAGTAATATATCAAAAGATTTAATTCTTCCGAAATAGCCCCACTGACTTGTAACTCACGCTTGTCCTACCTGATCAAGAGGAAAGCCCAAGTATTTACTGACAGGCAGCAGCCACTCGGATCCAGTGGTTTTAAACGGAGTCTGTGCCGGCTCGCCCATCCTACGCAGCTGTTCTGTCACGGCACCTCGGTTTGCCAGGTTATCTTTACGTGTGTTTGTAGCTAACTACGAACTATTTTCTGTGACTGAAATTCATCGTTTTCCCTTGAGCGCCTGTGACAAGTCAAACCAGTCGACAGACCAGGAACACTCCCTCCTCCTTCTTTCCCTCCCCGTCAGTACCAGTCGAGTTAGACAAAGGCAGGCGAAAAATAAATAGCCCTTCCGGTTGCGGCTTACAAAATAAAAGCCAATTCAAAGCGAATGGACCGCAGACTTCAACTAACCGCACAAATCTCTTCCAGCCTAAAGTCTTCTTTTAACCATACAATGTCCTAGAGTCCACTATTGATGAATGGAGAGCACAGATTGCTATTGTGTCCAGGCAAACGCAAAGTTGACTTGTGTGCTTTTGTTTTGAAAACATCAGCTTTATCACGAAAGACGAAATTAACCCATAATCCCGTGTGCATTAGCGCCAACATCCTAGTTAAACTTTAACCTTTACTTATGATGTTAAAAGTTTTAACAAGAATGTTGCAGCAGTTTTAAAAACATAAAAAATGTTATTACACATAACTTCCGGTGTTTTTTCGAACTTAACATCTCAGAACGTGCGTTTTCTTTCAGACTTACGGACAAAAGTTACTTATGAGCCAGTATAAACACAGTACTGTACAAAAGCTTTAAGCAACTCTTTATGTATTTATATTTTGCACGGAAAATGAGTAATAGGTGTAGTGTTTTATTGAAACATACATGGAAATACAGTATATAAGGGAAAAACAGAGTTTTTGGGAAAACTGATCTCAATGTCAATAATTTGCCTGAATTCTCTAAGGCAAGCTTTCTTCTCATCATTCAGGTAGTCTTCAGGAATAGTTCTCCAGACTTTTTTTTACAATGAAAGCTCGTCTTTGGATGTTGGCTGTCTTTTGTTTTGTTCTCTCCTAAAATGAAACTGCTCACATTGCTTCAATAATATTGAGGTCCGGGCTCTGGAGAGAATAGTCCATGAATAGTGCTTAATTGTGTGTTTTTCTATCCAGTTATGCCTTTACTGCATTGAGAGTGTGTTTGTGATCATTGCCGTGCTTTCCAGATGGTATTGGTGGATCAAAAAATCTCAGTAAATTTCTGTATTCACTGTACAAGAGCCTTAAATGAGTCCGGTCTTTGGTGGATTTCTTTCCTATTAGTAAAAAAAAAAAAGTTTTTCAGGAACTGTTCATCTCCTGTAAACAGTTTTTTTAAGACTGCCACTTTTCCTCCACTTGTCCAGTTTCCCCAAAGTTTTGTAAGAACACATTGCACAGCATGCTGAAATATGTCTCGTTTTTTGGTCAGCAGCTCTTTGGTAATTACTTTATTAGTGCAAAACCTATATAACTTTATTTCTGCTGAGCTGTTATCTTTGGCATCTTTCATGAGTTCCAACTAAAGAAATGTAAAAGAAATATGTTGTTTTTGCAACAGGCTGCTAGTAACAAAGCTTATTTTACCTCATTTTAAAATGGATTCAATACATTTAAATACATAATGACAAAACCCAAAATTATTTGGAAATGCAGAAACCTTTCTACATGAGTTCACATTGTTGACAATGCATGTAACATTCCACCAGTAAAAGGCATATGACAGGACATCTGGAGTTGCCAAAAGACACCCGAAGAACTCTCAGACCATGAGAAACAAAATGATCTGGTGAAGCTTCCTGTCTGGAAGAAACTAGGCACCTGTCACCATCTGTTAACTAAATCATGTTTTTCAGCAGCAGGAACTAGGAAACTAGTTAGGGTCAAGGGAAAGATGCATACAGCAAGGTACAGAGGCATCCTTGATGATAACCTGCTCCAGAGTGCTGTGGACTGGGGTGAAAGTTCATCTTCCAAAAGGATAACGTTCCTAAGCACCCAGTCAACACAACAAAGGAGTGTCTTCAGAAAATTGTGTGAAAGTCCTTGATTGTCCTAAACATGAACCTAATCTCTACAAACATCTTTACAGAGATCTGAAAATGTCTGTGCACCGACGCTCCCTATCCAACCTGATGGAGCCTGAGAGGTTTTGCAAAGAGGAATGGGAGAAACTCTCCTTAAATAGGGATGCCAAGTTTGCAGCATCATACTCAAAAGAGCTGAGGCTGTAATTGTTGACATTTTGTATCATTCATCTTTACCTTACAATATAAAGCGCCTTGAAGCAAGTCTTGTTGTGATTTGCCGCTATAAAAATAATATATAAAGAATTTAATTAAATTTGCCAAATTTAACAAAACAAAAAGAAAATATTGAGCAAAGGCTGTGAATACTTATTTACATCATATATACATATTGGGGCAGCGTCAATGCATGTGTGGGTTCTCTCCAGTACTCCGGTTTCTTCCCAAAATCCCAGGTTCCCTCTGTCCCACAGTCTCTGTCTCTTGACATCCACCCGGGAAGCCCTCCTCAGGTCAGAGGAACACAACAAACATCTGGCTGACCTTCACAGGGTCTCTGCCTCACCATATCAAGCAGGTCAGAAAGTATGGTTATCCACTAAAAATGTACCTTAATGAACTAAATCTAATCTCTGAATCTGTGACCTTCCATTTAAACTTACCTCACAATATGAAGATCCATAACCCCTTTCATCTCTCCCAGCTGAAGCCAGTCTGGACCAGCCCAGAAACGTGAGTTAACTACAAAGGAATTACCCAAGTCTTTAGATGCTTTAATTTCCATGTGCATTAGAATGGATGACTGCACGCAAACAGTCCATTGGCTCTTGGCGAGGTAGTGGTGGATTCACGCCGGCCATTGGAGCCTCCTTAGGAGAACAGAGCCCAGGAGGAAGTGAACCATGGAGAGGAGCGGTCCATGCAGCTCAGCCGAGCCCAGGTATCACCATCAGACATTAGGAAGTGGCTGCTGGCTGGTGAGTACTTCTCTTGTGGTCAGAAAGGGCATTATGTCAATGCCTGTCCTTCGCGCCCACGCCCATCAGTAACTGTAGGGGTACAGTGTTTCCCTACCTCCACTCAGGTACTTGGCAAAATTATTCTTAATCCTTATATTCACCTTTATAATGCCTCAATCGACTCAGGAGCAGAGTAAAATTTTATTGAATAGTCTTTAGCCAAGAAACTCAACCTCCTGTTAATTCCTCTGACTTAACCGTTGCAAGTCTCTGCCTTAAATGGCACCAGACATCGCCTATCGAACTCAGCCCATCAACCATGTAGAAATCTGTTCCTTTTTCATGCAAATGGCATTCCCTTAGTCCTTGGTTATCCATTGCTGAGTATTCATAACCCACAGATCAACTGGTCTAAAGGCTGTATTTCCAGGTGGAGCCTTTTGTTGCTGTGAAAACTGTTGCTTGCTGCAAGACCTCACACCGAGCACATCTACTGCGGGTGTGGTGCCTGTTATCGGACCCGAAGTTAGCAACATTCCCCAAGAACACGAAGAGGAGAGTCCTGGCCCCTAGCCCTGCCAGTGTAGCAGAAATGATGACGGATGATGATGGCAGCAGCAGCCGTTCTTCTCTGCGTGAGTAGCTTAATGTTGTTCATAATTTACGTTGAGTGGGCTAACCACGTTATTACATTAATGCATGTAAGGTGAACTAGCAAACACCGTCGTAGTTACATGCGGCTGTCTTCTTGTTTGATGGCAGATACTCCCTTCACCCTGGCCAAAAAGGCTAAAATGACCAAAGAAAAGGTGGAAAACAGCTAAACATGAGAGGTTTTTGGACAAAGTTTGTGTTTTTTCCATTGTTTAAGCACTGCTTCCAGCCAAGAGTGATACCATATATGCCCCATAGCTGCAGAAAAGGCTAACAGTTATCTTTTTACAAAAAAAACCAGCTAAACATGAGAGGTTTTTGGACAAAGTTTGTGTTCTCCATTCTTTAAGCACCGGTTCGAGCACCGTTTAAGCACCAGCACTGTTTCAAAGGAACCGGTTTGGCACCAGTATCGGATAAAGCCTAAACGATACCCATCCCTAATTTGTTACTGCAAGGAGCTCAATTTATAAAATGCACACCACCTAATCAGAATAAGGGAGGGAGAGGAATAGAAAACAATACTAGCCTTCAATACTCACCTTGGACATTTCGAATATCTGGTCATGCCATTTCGACTCACTAACGCCCCTGCAGTGTTTCAGGCCTTAGTGAATGATGCCCTAAGAGATTTCATCAGTTATTTTGTATTTGTTTACGTTAATGACATTCTCATCTTCTCCAAATCCAGGTCGGAACACAAGAAACATGTCCACCAAGTCCTGCAGCAGTTGCTGGAGAACCACCTC